AAAGGTCTAAAAGAGCAGGGGAAGTGGGAGGGGTAGGGGAAAGGAAAAAAGGGAAAAGAAAAAATATGAGAAAAGGAAAAAATGGAAACAAAGTCTTTGCAAATAGGGAAGGGTGGAGGGGGTGATGGGAGAGCAGGGGAAGGGGAAAAAATAAGAACCAAGATACTCATGTAATGGCACAAGATCCCAATGATGAGTGTAACTGTATTTTATACCGAAAATGTACCAATAAACTTAATGGGGAAAAATAAATAAATAAAATAAATATAATTCATATATAAAAATTAAACAATAAGTAGCTCATTAAACAATATGATATCTACAAAATAGGATATTCTATTAAATCCCATGTGTGTACACTATATGACAATCACCATAATACAAATGGTATAATGGTCATTTTTTAAAGGTACAGAATTTGATGCATAACTATCTTCATATAGTTATGAGCGGGAAAATGGTGTAATTTTAGTCGATTCACCATCTTCTATAACAACTTCAAAATTTCAACTGTTGTATATTATTAGAAAATTTTCAACTTTGAGATTTCCTCCTTGATGAGAATTTAATTTGAGAAGCAAACCAGCGTGAAAGATGCCTGCTTGCTAATCCAGCGAGGGTCACTAACCGGCCAGCAGGTAGCGTAGACTTATTAGCGAAGAGCTGCTTACCTGCATGTCCCGCTGGAGGAGGGTGACCGGAAGTCCACCGCAGGGAGGTGCTTCTGAAAGGCGGCCGCAGCTTCTCCCGGGATGAGCAGCTGTTCCCAGACAGCATCCTTCCCTTGGAGCTGCTGAAGAGGTCCCTGATGTCCTTTCTTTGTTTGGATTCTTGGAGGAAACTCTCAAAAGATTTGTCTTTGGTTCTGAAGGAGGAAAATAAAGAGGTTCTTCTCTTGGGAGCCCTGGAAGGGTTTGCCAAGGCCTCTTGCAAACTCACTTTTTCCAGGAGTGCGGGGACATCGTCAGTGTTGCTGCAGGGTGGCGATGTGAACGTAGAGAACATTGTCGGTGGCTGATTGGGCAAACGATGGTCAGGATCAGAGCGGCAAAGGTCTGAGGACTGGGCGGCCCGGCGAGCTGGAGAGCCCAGCGAGAAGAAGGTGGAGGACCTGCTGGCCGCGTGTCTCCCAGGGGACTGCTGGCTCCCGTTTTTGCTAGAGCCGCTTTTCCAGAGGCTGAAGGAGCTGGTTGAGGGGAGCGCATGCTGGCCCGGGGGCCAAGTTTCCGGCTCTGGCTTGGCCCAGACCTTCTTCCCACCGCCGTCAGAGGTGTGGAAGAGCTGCTCCATGGACTTCCGGATGGCATCTGTAATGAGCCTCAGGGGTGACTTGGGCGGGGGCACACTCCGCTGCTCCAGCGCCTGCACAGCCCCCTCAGGGGCCTCTGTCTGGGCGGCCAGTGTCTCTTTCCCTCCCCGAGCGAGGCTCAAGGGGTGGACTGCGCTCAGCACAGGGCCTGCTCTGCCGTTCCTAGCACTCTCCCGGGAAAGTCGCTCCCCTAGCTGGAGGGGTGCGCTGTGGAGGCAGGAGTCATTCCAGTCCAGCAACATGTTCTTCTGCTCCTGGGTGAGAACTAACTTCTTCAGGCCTGACGTCCTCTCGGCCAACTCTGACCTGCCCTCCTGTCCCCTCTTGGGTCCAATGCTGCCTTCTCCTGGGTCCTCTTCTGCCCTGAGACACTGCTCTTGGTTTGGCAAGGACCTGTCCTTCCCCTCAGTGAGGAGAGGGTCTCTGTGGGGGCGTCTGGTACCCTCAGGAGGAGCCCCTGTTTCCTGGCACCCCCTGGAAGCCATCTCCACGGGGCTTTTGAGGCTGTCTCCACCAGGGCTCACCAGGCAGTACTCTGCCCGCTCCAGCACCTCGCTGTGAGGTAGGTACAGGGACATCTCCTTGGATGCCCCTTGGGTTCTAGCTCTCCTGAGAAAGATTGGGGCAGAAGGACAGCAGTGATCGCTGGAGACCTAGAGGGGATGGGCAGAAAGAGCAGTTGTTTAAAAATTTATAGCATTTATTTATATGGATTAGGCAAATCTCAATCCACACCCTGCTTCTTTTCTCTGGGCATCAGATATTCACAGTCAAAAAGGAATTTTGCCCAAGAGGATCACAGAGGGCTGCTCTTTGATTGAAGTGTCTGCTTGGGACCTGCTGGGACCTACCTGGAGGCCCCAGTCCACTCTGATCCAAGGCCATTTCGGATCCTGAGTTAGGTGGGTAGGGAGCCAAAGGCAGGAAAAGGCTCAGGCGCTGCACTCCACAGCCCCTGGGCCAGGGCGAGTAGGACTGGCCTTCCAGTAAGCTCTCCCACATCTTGCTCAAGCATGGTCCCTACTCAAGGGCACCTTCCTCTCATAGCTGCGTTCCTCTCCTGGCCAAGAAACCAAGGCATATTCCTTGGAGGCCATCAAGTTAAGGGTGGCAGTCATCCTTCAGGTGACCGAGGATGGCCATAAGAACCTTCCAAGGACCTTTCTAAAGGTCACACCTTGCACCACTGAGAACGCCATTTCCACCATGCGGGAGCTTGGCTCTTGGGAAACAAAGAGTGTAAGGAAACTCTAGGAGGAGCAGCTGTGTCCTGCAAAGAGCTCGGGGGCCCAAGGGGCATGCATAGGATGGGGACATCACAAGAACCCGAATCTCTTGTGTCTTGCAAACTACTTCCCAGATCCTGAGACTGGCCTGCAGGTAATCGACACTGGATAAATACATATGAAAAGAAAGAGTCCAGCCATACATATCAGTGATGACATTTTCTTTTCCAAAGGCACCTGCACTTCGGTGCCTGGCATCCTTCAGCTGGAAGCTCTTTAACATGCTGTGTGTGTTTTTCAAGAGCAGAGCACATGCTCTGTTGCCAGCATCCCAAGGTCCAGCAAAGAGTCTCCCTCCCGAAGGGCTGTTGGGGTGGGGCTGTGTCCTTGGGGTAGTTGAGAAGAAGCAGGATAAGCTTTTAGGAAAGGCATGAGTGCAGAAGGCCTGGAGTGGAACCTTGACAGAGCCTCTTTCTGGCCCTGGCCTTGCACTTGGGGGCACAATAGTCCTTAGAATCCAGAGATCAGCATGGAAGGAGGGAGGGGCACAGGCAGCTCACCTTCCTAACATCTGTGCATGGCCTGCAGGGGGACTCACCTGAGGTGGAGCAGAATGGTCCAGAGGATGCCCAGGGACACTGGCTGAAGATGAAGATGAAGGAGAAGACGATGAAGACAGAGGAAGAGGAGAAAGTTTCTTTGAAGGTGACAAAGTTCTTTTGTTCGCTGGTATTAGATCTACCAAGGAAAGGACACACACTCCGTTACAGAGTCCTTGTTGGGTTATGAAAAGAGGAGGTTGTAAGGAAAACCCTAGTTCTAATCAGCAGTGTCTGGAAGGGGAAGATGTCGAAGACTGAGTCTGAGGTTCCAGTGACCATGGCTTGGGACATGCAGGAACGGGTTAAAGCCAGAGGCAGGGTCCCGTGGGGCAAAGGAGGCTCCAGGATGAGAAATCAAAGGACTATGGCGTCTCATTTTCTTGTGGGAATGGTCCTGAGAGAGACATGACCTGGGTCTCCAGAGTGCTTTTCAGAAAAGGACATCTACCTCTAAAGTTTCCCTAAAGCCATGGTGGCTGGGAGCTGGGGCTGTATTCATCATTCCATCAATAAACTATCTGAGGTTTCTTCCCACAAATGCCAGACCATTAGCTGTGGGAATGGCCAGGAGAGATACTCACTACTAATGAAATGCCTTCTTCTCTCATGTGTGCCCAAGGGGCTCTCAGACAAGTGGGTAGCTGACACTTCAAGGAAACACAGGGAGGGAGGTCACAGCGATATCAAACCTTTTGATGCATATGGAGTGGGACTCATGCCAAGCTCCTGTTGATCAAGAAACAACAGGAGCTCAGCGGTATATAAGACAGGACCATGGCTGGGCCCTGGGAACCCCTCTGGTCCTCTGGTCTCTGGAGAAAGAAGCATGACATTTGTAGCTTGTGGGATCTCCTAGGACCTAAATTCATGTGTATTTTCTTCTTCCTCCTCCTCTTCCTCTTCTTCTCTCCCTCTTTTTCTTCCTCCCCCTCCTTCTCCTCCTCTTCTTCCTCTTCTTCTTCTCCTTCTCTTCCTTCTCCTTCTCCTCTTTCTCCTCCTCCTTCTCTCTCCTTCTTCCCCTTAAGTATATAGTCATCATAAGCCCGAAACCTCAAGTATTTTATCTCCATATTGGACCATTTCAGATAGTAATCTGTGCTCAAATAGATTCAAAAACATACCACACAGGATTTCAGATGTGCCCACTCAGTATCTAACCCTCAGCCCACCAAGCTCTTCCATGAAACATGGCGGCACATATTGGCATTCTCAGACTCCCCAGGGCCGCTGTGCCTACCTAGGCTCTCTTGTCTGAAACTCCAACTTCTGCCTTCCGGGACCCATTCAGATTCTCTTCCAAGATGTCCAACCTTTGGATTTTTGGCTCACTTCTTAGTTTAACACAATGTCCTAGGCCCAGTTTTCTCAACACTTTGGGTGAGAGGCTCCTCCTCAGGGACCCACACAGGCCAGGCCAAACCCAAATCCACCCCCCAGTAAGAGTTCTATTGAGTTCTATTGAGTCCTGGTGCTATGGGAGGAACAACCACATGGGCAGATTCTCAATATTCTGCCCTGCTTCTCCACACAAACACAAGCATGTCAGATGGTGTATCCTAGACCTGGGTTCGGACAAAATGGCTACCACACACATATGGTCAACAGGCTTCCAGCAGGAAGCTCCCTGGATGCTCCTGAGAGCAAAGGTAACTCCAGGCGACAGATCTGATGGACAGGCGGGCGGGCAAGAAGGAGCTGCTGAGAGAGGCCACTGCTGCCAGGAGCTGATGTGGGGGAGGTGGCTGGCCTGCCTCCCATCACCCGCACCCCATCTCAGCCCACAATGAGATGGCTCGAGCCTAAAAAGGCAAAAGTTGTGAGTCAGTTGTTGCCTTGCTTCCCGCCCTCAGCTCGCCAAATTCCTGCCAAATTCCTTCTCCCCCTCTTCTTCACCCCCTCATCTTCTCTCGCGGCCATCTTCTGAACCAAGCTCCTTAACTTGTCTCAAAAGTCATCTGGGCTTCACAGACTGCCTTTTGTTTCTCCGAGGAGTCTCAGAATCTTGTGACACACAGCTAGGGACACCTTGGGACGCAAGCCTGACAGAAAAGCCACGGAGTTTCCAAGGTCATGACCCGGCAGCTGCCCCCTTTTCTCCTTTCTCTAATCCTCCCTGGCCAGTGGGGTCTTTCTCCGAGAGTGTCCCCGAGTCCTGTGTTACAGATGGATCTTGCAGAGGGCTTGAAGAGGTGGGGAGGCAGAGACCCGGGTCAGGCCAAGCCCTTGTCCCTGGGCTGCCATTCCAGCCACTGCTGGGGAAGGGGCCCAGCTGAGGAGGGACAGGTGAACCAAAGCCAGCTGAGAGGTGACGGGGAGCCCCGGCTATTCCACAGGGAGCTTCATGAGCAGGCTCCAGCCTCTTGGGTCAAGTGCTGCTGCTGCCTTCTCTTGGGATCTCTGACAATAGCGATCTTTTCCTTCTGAAGGTCCTTCTGGCCAGCATGGTCAGCCAGGGGAGGTGACCATTTTCTGCTTCTTACTACGGAACCAGCCTGGTCTGCTGGGGTTTCCTCGAGTGAAAAGAAGATAGCAAAAAGGTGTTTCTGGTGGCTTTCAGCTCTGGGGATTTTCCCCAGGACTGGGATTCCAGGATGCAGCTTCCCAGAATGTTTGAGGCCCTACAAGGCTTAAATCCCTTGCAAGGTCTTGGAGCGCCCTCTAGGGACAGCAGCATGCAAGTCATGTGCTCTTTTTACCCTCCGTCCTACCAAGTTTATTCCTGGTTCATTTGTTCCTTCCTTCATTCATTCTCTGAGCAAATTAGCACTGGGTGCCTCCTCTAGGCGAGATCATGCTAAGGACTCTGCCCCAAGAGGAACTGCCCGGAGCTTAGGGTCTCAGTGGCTCAGGATGGGCTGGGGCAGGGCAGTGAGACGAGGACAGGTGGAACAGCAGTTTCCGCCATCCTCTCTCTCGTTGCCTCGGGCTGTCAGATCTTGGGGAGTCCCCAGTGCAGCGGCCCATCCACGTGTGCAGCCCTGGTCCAGCACCAGAGGTGACCCCTGTCCCAGCCTGACTCAACGAGGGCTGGCGGGTCTGGGGTGGTGGAGAATGAGTCACTGGCCAGGAGTCAGGAGTGACTCAAAAGTAAGAAAACCAGGGCTCCCTTCCAGCTGCCGCAGCAGTGCCCAGCGGTAGAAACCCTGTCGAGCCGGAGGGTCGCCCTCGCTTTCTGCAGACCGTGGAGAAAGTGTGGGGACTGGCGGCTCGGAATGGGATGGTGTCCTCGTCCCTAACTCAGGGCTTCCAGGTAATTTCTGCTCAGTCACTGCTGCCGCCCACCCCGAAGATGGGCCAGCCCCGGATGCCCTGCGTCTGTGCGCGCGGCTCTGCGCCCGCTCGTGGGGTCCTGATCCTCGGCCTGCCCTGCTCTTCCTGGGACCAAGCATTGCTCAGAAAAAGGAGCAGAGATGTATGTGGGTGGCTAAGTCAGGGAGTGAGTCTGTCTTCACTGTATTGCCTCCAACTGCAGGATCCAAAGAGCTGACACTCCAGCCATCCCAGCCCAACTCCTGTGGACAGAATCCAATCATACACAGTCCCGGCCTCGGTTTCCGCCTTCAAGTTTCAGAGAGCTCGGAGCCCATGCTTGCTAAGCCCCTTTCAACAGCGAACGTGCAGATTCTTAGGGTTCCACGGCCCCAGAATCGAGGGCGGAGGATGGAAGGTCCCAGCCCGTTGGTGAATGCTTCCCGGAGTCTGCAGCAGAAATCAAGCCAACCTCCTCCCCGCCCCCCGCCCCTCACATCCTGGAGGCGGTCAGAGAAGACACCATGTAAGGTATGAGAGGCGCGAGAATGAATCAGAGGAGCACCCCCCCCCCCCCCCGCCCCGCCATGACTCACTTGAGGGGAATTTTCTCCAGTTCTGGTGCTTGCTTGGAGCTGGATCCTGGAAGCTGTTGGCCCGTTGCAAAGCTGTGGTAGAAAAAAGAAAAAAGAAGAGAGGTGCAGGGAAGATGGGGGGTGGGGACAGGAGTCCATTAAACTTGTGGAATGAAGAGAGACTTCGCCTACAGCCTATTGACCAAAAGTTACAGCTGGCTGAACCCTTTCCTTCTCTCACATGGCACTTCCTGCCCCTGCCGTTTTTCATTCATTATCCATCAAGCGTTTACCGAAGACCTGCTTTGGGAGAGGTACTCCCCTGTGTTAGGGAATGCCTCCAATAACTTAGCTATCATTCTAAATCACTGATCATAAATGAGCTCCTCATGCATGCCGGCGTATATACAAACATGTAGACACAACATATGTGCATGTATGTAGATCTAGAATGTGCCCCCAAGGCCTCATGTGCTCAGAGGTGGGGCTTTTGGAAGGTGATTCAAGCATGGGTGTGCTGTACTCGTTCGCCAGTGGATTAATCCACTGACACATTCAGAACAGCTGAATGCGCTGTTAGGCGGTGGAGGGCCTGGTCAGAAGAGGTGGGTCACAGTGAAGGTGAGACCTGGAAGGTATATCTCCTTCCCCGTCTCTCCCTTCTCTCTCTGCTTCCTGCTCACCATGACATGAATAGCTTTCCCCTGCACCAGGCCCTTCTACCATGCTGTATCTGCATTTGGGCCTGCCAACCATGCACTGAAACTTCTGAATATGTATGCCAAAATAAGCATCTCCTCTTTTAAGTTATAGGTATCAGGTATTTTGATCCATTGATGAGAAAGTAACTAAAGCAACATCCGTGTATATATTCATGCATTCCTTTAGATCGAAACCATTCTTTTTTCCCCCCTTACATTCTTCTATTGGTACATTTTAGGTATACACTACATTTACATTTATCATTGGGTGCTTGTACCTTTACATAATGTATCTTGGTTCTTATTTTTTCCCCATTTCCTGTCCTCCCTTCACCCCCTCCACCCTTCCCTATTTACAATGACTTTGTTTCCCTTTCTCATAATTTTTCCTTTCCCTTACCCCTCCCACTTCCCCTACCCCTTTGGACCTTTTCTTCCTATTTCACATTATCAATTATTCCTTTTAGTCCTTATTTACACTTTCAGTTTTTCACACCAGAGAAACTATTTGGTATTTACACATGTGTGTCCTATTTATTTCACTTCAGAGTATCGCCTCAATGTGCATCCATTTAGCTATAAATGTCTCTAGTTTCTCATTCTTTTTTTTTTTTTTTTTTTTTTTGGTACCAGGGATTGAACTCTGGTCCTTACGCTTGTGCAGCAGGCGGCGAAACCACTGAGCTAAATCCCCGCCCCTCCCCCTTTTTTCATTTTCTCATTCTTTATGGCTGAGTAGTACTCCATTTTATAAAAAACCCCCACATCTTCTTTATCCAGTTTCCACTTGATGGGCACTTGGGCTGTTTCCAAGCTTTAGCTATTACAAACTGTGCCACTATAAACATAGGTGCACATATATTGCCGTGGTATGATTCTTTTAATTCTTTGGGGAAGATACTGAGCAGGGGAATAGCTGGATCAAATGGGACCTCTAGCCTTAGTTCTTTGAGATATCTCCATACTGATTTCCACAATGCTTGCACCAGTCTGCACTCCCACCAGCAGTGGAGCAGGGTTCCTCTTTACCCACAGCCCCGCCAGCATTTGTTATTGGTTGATTTCTTGATAGCAGCCATTCTTACTGGGATGAGGTGGAATCTCAGTGTTGTTTTCATCTGCATCTCTGGAATGACCAGTGGTGTTGAACATTTTTTCATATGTTTATTTGCTGCTTTTACTTCTTTGTCTGGGAAATGTCTGTTCATTTCAGATGCCCATTTTTGAATTGGGTCTTTAAATTTGGGGGGTCTGATTTTTTTAAAGTTCTTTATAGGTTCTAGATAGTAGTCCTTTGTCTGAGGAACAGCAGGTGAAAATTTTTTCCCACACTGTGAGTTGTCTCTTCACCCTGTTGTTGACTGTTTTAGCTAGTTCTTGTGCTACTGAGGTTTTGTTCATAAAGTCTTTTCCTATGCCAATGTCTTCAAGAGTTCTACCTAACTTATCTTCCAGCAAGTTTAGTGTTTCTGTCTTAATATTTAGATCTTTAATCCACTTCAATCTTAGTTTAGTGCATGGTGAGAAATATGAGTCTAGCTTTAATCTTTGGCAGGTTGAAATTCAGTTTTTCCAACACCATTTATTAAAGAGGCTATCTTTCCTCCAGTGAGGATGGTTGGTTCTCTGTTATTTGTGTAAAAGAAGGCTATTATTTTTTGAGTGTTGACCTTATATCCAGCTATTCTACTGAATCTGTCAATTAAGTTTAGAAGTCTTTTGGCAGAGTTTTTTGGGTCTTATGTTGAGTATCATATCATCAGCAAATAATGACAGTTTAACTTCTTCCTTTCCTATCTTTACTCCTTTTATTTCTTTCTCTTGTCTAACTGCTGTGGCTAATGTTCGAAACCATTCTTTAAAGCTGAGACCTCACAGCAATGTTCCATACATATAATAAAAACTGAACCTGCTCTAATTAGAGCCACGAACCTGCAGAAAGTTATCTTCTGCCTTCCTTTCCCTCACCCAGAGCCCCCAAGCCCTGGAAACTGGTTTTAACTGAGCTGCTGGACAATCCTTTGCCAGCCCCCTCCTTGTGACCTGGTCCATTGGAAATGCATTTGTGGGACACTATGTAATTCCCACTGACAGCCCCTCTGCCCAGCTGTGCCTTGAGAATTAGCTTAGCAAAATGAATATCGCCTGTGGGAGAAAATGAGTTTTGGCCCTTGGGGCATGAGAGTGGGCATCGGGACTCAAATGCACCCTGTTGCCAGGCAGCACCTTCAGATTCCATCTCCGGCCTTGTGCTTCCATCACAGCCTGAAAGAGAGAATGGGCACCACCCTGCACATCTGGGTGCTCATACGGTGTATGGGAGATCTGGCAGAGGGAGAAGGGAGAAAGGGACGAGGTGGGTTTGACACAGAGCTCCCCGAATCCGTTGGGGCCAGTGTGGTCCCCACTCCTCCAGTCCTAGATTCTCCACTCCATGTCCTGGAGCGTTCTTTTCTTAGAACAAGATCTTGGCTCCTTAGCTCCTTGGCTCCCTTCTCCCTTTGCCCATTGGGGATGCTTTGTGTTGGAGTGGCCTGGTGGGTTTCCAGTCCTACAGATCACTCTCAAGATCAGGCCCAAGGGTCTAGGAGGTGCCACTGTGGACGGGTACAGAGTAGCCCCCCACCTTCCTGCTGCCAGATGGGCAGTCCACCAAGGTCTACAGCTTGGTTTCCCTGGCTGGGAGTTTTTCATGAGGAGCAGGCAGGCCTTAAGCACTGCCACTTCCTCTTGACACCTAATGAAGGAATCACTCACACAAATGTAAGAGTTCTTAAAGCTTTGATTGCTCCTCCTCCACTTTTAACTTTGTGGAATGGAACCTATTAAAAGTGGCTACAATTCAGGAAAGATTTTCCATTACTGGTGTTTATGGGGTCCACATGCACATGTTCTTACCACAACAGGAACAATAGGGTGAGTAGTAGAGAGTTGATCTAGTAATTCTGAGCAGTATAAAGCTAGGCTGGTTCCATTCTTTCAGCTTATGCTTTATGTGTATTTATTTACTTGATATTTACTTTAAAGAAGCACTTTTGGAGAGCTCAGTGCATGACCTGGTGCAAAATGAGAAAGAGGGTAAGAATTTTACCATATGGTGCTGATGATCTCATTTCATTGTTACGAACTATTGGTGTCCTCCATATGCCACTGGGCCATCCTGTTGTTAAATTATTGCCAGGAAAAAATGGATAAGTACCAATTCTTCCTTGCCAGAATAATTTAGGGGCAGATTGCCCTCCAAAATCTAATTGGTTTCGGTTCCAGAATCCAATGCACTAGCTGCATCCATTTAGTTGCTTGGGCACGCACATCACAATTAATTCACCCCGGGGGATCCTCCAGGAAGCTGCCCTTCTGTGATTCCCAAAATGTGAGACTTGCCCACCTGCATTAGGGAACCTGGGCTGCTTACACCCAGTGCAGACCCTCAAGGACTCAGAGTCTCTGTGGGGATCCCGGAATATGTCTCTTAAGTACTGGATTGGTGTGGTTTGGATTTTAAATGGCCTTCAAAGGCCCCTGTCTTAAAGACTGATGGCCAGCCAGTGGTGCTACTGGGAGGTGGTGGAAGAACACTGAGGAGGTGGGATGGAAAGGAAGTGAGGGTGCTGCCTGCAAGGGGAAATCAAGACCCTGACCTCTCCCTCTTTCTGCTTCCTGGATGCCCAGAGGTGAGCAGTTTCCTTCGCCGTGTGCTTCTACCATGATGGCAATAGGGCCAAGTGACCAAGGGCTGAGATCTCTGAAACCGAGAGCAAAATAAACCTTTCCTCTGTATGAGTGGTTTATCTCAGGCATTTTGGCAAAGCAATGGAAAGCTGACTATTACAGAGATGTTTTAGGGGAAGGTGTCCTATGGCTTGCATAGTTATGTGTCACACCCTCATCTTGGGCGTGCTCTGGGTTACAGAACTTCGATGCGAGAGGTTCCCCGAGGTGCTGAGGCCGTCTAGGAAATCTCTTGTTAAACAGTGGCAAAATGAACGTAACATAAAAAGTACCATTAAGCCACTTCTTAAACATTTATCAGTGTTTTATAAAAAGCTACAATTTGAGAACAACCAAAAAGAAGTACGTAGAGCAAGGGAGGGGGAGAGGCATGGAGCTTGCATGCACAGCACACTTCCCATGTGTTCATCCACCTGCGGCTTTGCAGATCTTGAAACCATGGAATTCAATGGCTTTAAGTGCCTTACACCGTTGTTTAGCCATCACTATTTCCCATCTCTAGAGCTTCTCCCATGTTTCAGACTGAAACTCTACTCATTAAACAGTGACCCCCATTATCTTCTCCCTCCAGCCCTGGTGACCACCATTTCTTTCCACTATTTATGAATTTGACTACTCTAGGCACCTGCTTCAAGTCTCTTTATGACTAGCTTCACACATTATCACTTTACACGTATCTGCAGAGTTTATCTGTGTTGTAACATGTATCAAAACCTCATTCCTTTTGAAGGTTGAATAATATTCTCTTGAATGGATATGCTACTTTTGTTTATCCATTCATCTCATGTGGTTTTCCTCTTCCTTTGGGCCATCATGGACATGCTGTAGGAGCACAGATGCACAAACCAGGTCTGGCCATGCCCTGGTCTGGCCTTCTATAAACCCACCTCTGAGACATTACTCCAGATGACAACCGTGGCTAAGGGAGTTCAATAATTTCCATTCATGATATCAACCCTGGATTACCTGAGAGAACCACTAGCTCACCATTACCAGAGATTTTAACCTTATAATGTGGCCTATCAATAATCAAAACCCCAGTTGATAAAGATGAAATCAACAAACGATTATTTGGAAGTCACACAGTGTATCCACTTCTTTATCTGCTCTATATTTTCCTTTAGAGTTAAACAGACTGTCAGAAGCCAAATGCTTTGGCCTGGCTGCCTTAGTCTGTGTAGCCCAAGCCCATGACTCACGGGATCCTGACTTGCTGTCAGGCCCGCACCTGCCACCAAGGGGTGCTGCAAGAAACAGCCTCCGGGAAAGGATGGCTGGATTTTCTGAGGAGCTATTGTTTAAGACATGATCATTAGCATTACCTACTTGACACACAAGCTGCAAACTTTCTCTGGACCTAAGCTCTATGAAAAGCTGTGTGTCCTTGGAGACCTACTGAATACATAGTTATTCTCCTCTTGGACAATGAGAATAATATTCATCTGGGTTTGCATTTCAACACTGGCCGCTTAGAGCTAGAGTCTAGTTCTTTGGAGTCTGTGCCTCGTAAACTGGCTTTGCTAACCTCAATTCAAAGGCTTCAGTTTTCATACACACAGACATGTATTTGTTTTATATCTTCCTTGTTGCCTGACATCCTATAGCTGTGGAGCAGAGAGGAGAAACAGGAAGAGGATAAGGGACCGGCAGGTTTCATACTGTGAATGGGCAACTGGAGCCCAGAAAGACGGAAGACAGTACCAAGGGCTACGGTAACCAGAGGCACTGCCTGTGCTGAGCCTTTCTGGACAGCCCTACAGGTAGTACTTAAAACGTGTTTTATGACAACCTACCTTTTCTTTAAAAAGGCCCACATGGACGATAAATTCAGAGTTTCCAGGACTTACAAATATTTTATGAGTTCTTTCTGGCCCCAGCCCTGGTCTTCCTGGGAAACCACCGCTGAACGACCAAGGGAGAGTCTGCTCTTGGCCACCAGAGGGCAGTGCAGGACAAGTTGAGTTCCAGATTGCACAGGGCAACCAAGATGGTGCCGAGGGTGGTTAATTTGTGGGTAAGATTCTATTAGCCTGTCTCTTCCCAGTCCCTCCTGGAAGTCAGATGACCTGGAAGTCAGACTCCTCAGGAAAGTATGGTCCATTTGCTTTTGCAAAAGAAGCTTCATACTAGTACCTCACTGGGATGAAATGGGGCCATGTGTAGGAAAAGTCCCAATACTCATTGAAAGTGCACTCTTTACTGTGTAGGTAAAGTTTGGGAGCATTCCACAAGCCCCACGTGCCCATCAGCATGAGCCCAGTGGTCCCAGGAGACTGACCGGGCCCATGTCCCTTCCCTGGGGTCCGGAGGGGCCCCTGAGGGAATACCCAGAGAGGAGTCAGGAGGGAAACTGCTCCAGGCCGGAGGGACTGGGCCTGCTTATCTCTACTGACTACGACACCTAACAGCTGACCAGGCCCCTCTGATGTCGTCTCACTCAGGACCGCAAAGCTTCTCATGGGAAAGATGCCAGGTCTGGGTCCTCACCCCTCACACCCACTTCTGCTGTGGCCCCTGAGCCTGAAGGGTGCCCTTCTGTCACCTGGACCCCTATGAGGAAAATCTGGTTAATGAGGGTCTCTGCTGCACCTGACTGTCCCAGAAAGAAGCATGGTGGACCTTCTGCTCACCATGCCCAGCGTGTGGCTCCTCAGGGCCCTGTGGAGAGGCTGCCCTGGTCAGAGGCTCCCTCAGGGAGTTGTGCCGGAAGAGGGGCTTAGGTAGAGGCAGCGACTCTGGCTGCTGGGGTCTCTCTTCACAGGGCTTGGTGCTGGGGCCCTCACTGTCACCATAGTCAGACTCTGTGTCGGAGCTGGAAGAGGAAGGAGAGGTGGGTGAGCCAGCAGTCCTAGCACCCCCTACCCTGCATCTGCCCCATTAAGGCCTCCTGGAGTAAGGCAGAGGTTTAGCTTGTGTCTGCTTAGGCTCCAGCCTTGGACCTCGTTGTGGCTGAATTATGTCTCCCAGATTCATATATTGAGGTCTTAGCCCCAGTACTTCAGAATGTAACTGCATTTAGCGATAGGGTCATTAAAGAGGTAATTAAGTAAAGTGAGGTCATTAGGTAGGACCTCATCCTCTGTAACTGATGTCCTTATAAGAGGAGTATTATGGTTTAGATGTCCCCCCAAAACTTCATGTGTTCAAAGGTGGGACTTTTGAAAGGCAGTTGGATCATGGGGCTGCTCTACTTAACAGTGGTTGGCTCCATTGATGAGTTCATAGTTGAATGTGTAGGGGTAGGGCTTGGTTGGAAGAGCTGGGTCACTGGGGACATGACCTTGGAGAGTGTATCTCCCTTCCCAGCTCCTCCCTTGTCTCTCTGCTTCCTGGCTGCCATGGAGTGAGCAGCTTCCCTCCCATGTGTCCTTCACCATGATGCTTCTGCCTTGGAGCCAGCTGATCATGGACTGAACTCTCTGAACCATAAGTCAAATGAAACTTTTCCTCATTTAAATTGTAGGTATCAGGTATTGTGTCCCAGCAATGGGAAAACTGACTAATACAAAGAGGAAATTTGGACACAGACATGCACAGAAAGGAAACACTGTGTGGGCAGGAAGATGGCCGTCTACAAGCCAAGGAGAGAGTTTGGGGCAGACCCTTCCCTTGTGGCCCTGCATAGGAACTGACAGCCTTCAAAGCTGTGAGGAAATAATGCCTGTTGTTTATGCCTCCAGTCTGGGTACTTTGTCATGGCAGCCCAAGCAGACTGATGCAGCTTGGATCTGATAGGAGGAAGATCCCAGCAAATGTCAATGAACAACTTGCACGAAGGCTGATCTCACTTGTCCTCATCCCTGGGCATACCTCCCAAGCTCTCTGGAGCCAGATAAGCTCATACTTGGTCCTAAAACTTCAGGCACTAAGATGCTGCTTTCCTCCTCAAGAATGGGCAAGGGGTAGAAAAGATATTCTGGAGTATTTAACACGGTTGTAAGTAACTGGCAGGGATTCAAGTGGCAGAAAAATGGGTGCAGGTCCCCTGTTGAGCAACCCTAGACTGCTGGATGGAGGATGAGAATCCTGGTCCAATAGCTCTCTGTTGCCCCAGCTGATCAGGAAATAAAACTCCCATGAGCCCACTACAATCCATTCTGCCCACCGAGCCACACAGGGCATAATCACTGGGTTCACTCATTCACTTCGGGGCTGATTTGTTACTCTGCATTATCGTGGGAATCGATAACTGACACAGTTGCTTTCCTGGCCACCCAGTCTAAGGTCGCTGACCTGTCACTCTTTATAACACACCTTTACTTCCTCTACCTGGCACGTATGTGACATGATATTTTTCTTGGTAAATGCTTCTTTGCTTACTAGCTGTCTACTTAACATGAGTGAGAGCAAGGACTTTGCCTCGTGTTGGTGGCTGCTGAGTGCCCTGAGTTGGGGGATTAATCAGCAACTTGCTGTTTATCGGCCTCCTAAATGAACCAGTGTGTCTGCAGGAGCCCTGGAATCTGCATTTCTAATAAATGGGATCTGATGCAGGTGGTGCGGGCAGCACTGGGAGAAGCAATCCTGGAGGCTCCGGGCTTCCTACCCCATACCCCATCCTGGCCTTGTCACTGCCATGCATCACCATCTTCCAGTGGGAGAGCCCCCCGAGTCCTCCTGGGACAGATGACTCCCACTGCATCCCTTGCTGCACCTTACATGACAAGCACCACTGGGAGAAGACAGCAGGGCTAGGGCCTCTCCCTTCCCTGAGGAAGTAACGATCACTCATCCTTACAGTGCTTGTGGTTCGCTGGGCATTGTTCTCCACACCACACGTATGTTCATTCTCTGATCCTCACAGCTCCCACTGACAGATGGGAAAAGAGGCCCAGAGAGGACTCTCCACCCGCCAGTGAAGAGAAGACCAGATCCCAAACGCTGCCCCAGCCCGGCCATACCTGCTGTTCTCGCAGTCGACCAAGATGCACACAGCCAGTACGTCCTGCCCGACGGTGTCCTCCCCAGGGCTGAACCTCACCGAGGTCCATTCGGAGGGCAGGGGCGAGGTGGCTTCACTGGCCATGTCACTGGGCTGTGGCTCAGCAATGCTCTTTGGCTTCTTAGGGGAGGTGGGCGCATCTGCTGAGAGGAGAACAGGGGCTAGGGAGACAGTGGGACCAAGGGCCCCTGCAGGGCACCTGATCCTCCAGGGGTCTGGGTGAGGTGGTGGGGGACAAGGCCTGGGGTCTACCCGGATACCCCCAGACTGACCTTTCATCCTCTGCGCTGTTGCTGGAGCACCCCACCTTCCACCTCCCACACGCAAGGTACAGATACATCCTGTTCAAGGGAGGGAGGGTCCCGCAACACTCAGAAGCCCCCTCAGGCTCCCCAGCCTCTGAACTGCCACCTGCATCCTGTTGTTCAATACGGGGGTGATGTCTGAGCTCTTGTCTTATTGATGCATCAGCAGCATCCAACCCAGTGAACACAATCTCTGGGCCTCTAGGACAGCTCTACCGGCTTCCACCTCCTCACCTCAACTTCCTGCTGGGTCTATGTGGCTGGTCCCTGCTTCTGCCCTCTGCTGCCCACCACTAAAGGCCATGGGGCTCCATCTCAGGACCTCTTCTCTCCTCTGTCTACACTCACACCCCTGATGGTCTTATCTGGGCTCAACGCTTTTGTAACCCTATACACAATGACTCCCAGATTTGCATCTCTAGCCTGGAGAGTTCCCTGGCTTGGGACTTCTATATCCACCCTGCTACTCATATGGCACCTCCGCGTGGATGTCTAACGGACCCCTCAACGCTTCCTTTTCACCTCCCCGAGACCTGTGCTGTCCCCCCCGACCACCACCCCGGCTTGGTAAACAGCAACTTCAGCCTCTAGTGGCTCGGGTCAGCCCCTTCCTGGCATCCTTAACTTCTCTCCTTTTATTCCTCACTAAACCATCTGCAAATCTTGATGGCTGTGCCTTCAAACTGCACCAGGAATTTGTCACCTCTCCCTGCTCAGAATTCACCAGTGGCTCCTCATGCACTCAGAGGCGGGTGGAGCTGAAGAGGCCTATTTCATGAAGGCGCAGTGGCTCCTGCGACCTTGTCTCCTCGCCCTCCCCTGGCTCACTCTGCTCCAATTCGTCACCTCCTTGCTGTTCCCCTAGCACTCTGGGTGGGCGCTGCTGCAGGCCCTTTGCACTCCTCTTTTGTCTGCAAGCAGACGCTCTCTCCAGGTACCTGGTGCAGGGGTCCCTCACTGCCGCTGGTCCCTGGCCAATGCCACATCCTCCGTGAGCCACCCTGACCCCTGCTGCAAACTGCACCCCACACCCCCTGCTCTCCATTCCCCCTTTGTTTTGCTCACCGTGTGTCTAGCCTTCTAGAAACTAGACAACTATTGCCTTAGTGTGTTTATTGTCTCTCTCTCAGGACTAGAAACTAAGCGGTGACTTCGGTCTGTTTTGTTTGTTAGAATTATGCCTGGTAAACAGTCAGTGCTCAGTTGGATGAGTTAAGGAATGAATGAATCCCAGCTCATCTTGGCCATTAACCAACGGGCGGCCCCTTCTCTGGTCACAGTGCAGCAGGTGTCCCTGTTTCAGTCTGAGGTAAAGACCTCAACTGAGCCCGGCTTGTTCTCACCTCCAACAGGGTCATGAGCTCCTCTCTTTCCTATCTTCTTACCTTCTCTGCCTACCGGTCTTTCTCATCAGTGTTTAAGTACACTGAAGAGTCTCCTGTTTTAAGAACCCCTTTTAAATCACAGGCCCCACCCCTAGCCCATTCTCTTTTTCCTCCTCTTGCCCGATCTTCTCAGAAGATTCCACTGTGTTCATTTTCTCTGCTTCTTTATTGATCCTCTATGCTGCATTCCCCCACCCCATCCAGACTGTTCTCTGCTGTTGCTAAATCCAGTTCACAGAGCTTCGGGGCTCTCCTGAAGCCCTTGAGCCCCAACCCTTCCTTGCTCTGAGGGACACTTGTGCTCCCATCCTCTCCAGCTGTTGCTCCCCAGCCATCCAGCCTTTCAGACAACCCTGGAACACTGGGTTCTCTCTGCAGACACCGGAACCCGCTGCTCTTCTCCCCACACCGTGTCTCTGGGAGTTGTCACCAATGCCTAACTCTACTTCCTGCTTGGGAAAACAGCTCAAGAAATTCTGATTTTTATGTGAAATGTCTCCACTTCAAAAACATCATAAGGTCAAACAAAACCTGCCCACATGCAGACTCAGCCAGTGTGTGTGTGTGTGTGTATACTTGTTTGTGTGCACATGTCTACGCTTTATGCTAGTGCACCTGGGGATGGAGGCATTTGAGAACTGACTGGACACTGGGCTGTATGATGATGATGAGGAGGAGGTGATGGTGTTGGTGATGATAAGAAAAGTAGTAGCAGCTCACTTTTATTGTGTGCTCAAGACATAGCACAAATTATTTGCACTCAGTTCATGTCCTAAGTCTGTTAAACTCTGGAAAGCACTATTATTATCCTCATTCTCCTGCCGAGAAACCTAAGCACAGAGAGGTTAAGGCTCCTGCACATGGTCCTGTGTCCCCTCAGAGGATGGGGAATGAATCTGTGTGTCTGTGTGAGATTTGGCTGGCAAGTGTCTCCAGTTCTCCACTCGCTCCCCATAGCAGAGCTGCCCTTTGTCCTGTGACTGTGCACCCTTTCCCTCGTGTAGGCGGGTGCGACCCCCTGCCCGATGGATGTGAGTCTGGGCTTTGAGATGTGCTCGGACCAGTGGAGGTTCATGGGTGGGACCAGAGCTGGGGCTGTAAGCGGACTCGCTCTGCTCTGCTGGGTCACTATGTAAAAGGCTTGATCCAGACGGCTGCTGTCCCTTAGCCTGTGTCCCTGGGTGAGGGGACAAGGAGTGGACCTGGGGCCAGTCCATGCCCTGGAGCCACAACAGCTCACCTTTAGACCTGCAGATCCAACACCGTAGCAGAGATCTGACTCTGTACCTGCTGGCATCCGAGTGCAGGCATGTGGGTGCCTGTGAGCCCAGTGCCCAAAATGTATGCATCGAACAGAAGCTACGGTGCCCTCCTCCTCTGGCCTGGGCCTATGCTGGGACTGGGAGCTGAGTCAGCAACCATGGTCCCTGCCTTCAACGATCCCTTTGTGTCTTGCAGGAGAGGTAAGGCATGTTCACAGACGTCTAGATTACAGAGTAGGCCATCTAAGAGTCAGATGGCAGAGAGATGGGAGGGGGGAGAAATGGGACTTCCACTCCGCGGACATGGGGCTTGGGGAGGGGAGGCTGTGTTCTTTGGCCTGGGCTTTGGAACAAAAGCAAGGTGGTGAACAACTGTCACCTGCATAGGAAGCTTGTGGCTGAAGGGCAGGAGGGCTTGTGAGAGAAACTAGTGCAAAATGATTCCTGGACATCCAACCAGCCAGGGCCCTGAATGGCAAGCAAAGAGGGTTTCACTGCAAGAGCAGCCACTGCCTGCTTTAAACTGGGGACTGGCATTGTCAGATTAGCCCCATGCAAGGTCACTTTAATGGTAGAGTGGGAGGTGGCTTTGGAGATCCACAGGAAGGGGAGGAGAAGGATGGAGCTGGGGCAGCTGGCAGCATGAGGTGGATACATGAGGCGCAGGCGAGCTGAGCCAGGCTGCGTGGGACCAGACCCACAGCCCACACAGCTCAGGGCCCTGATAAGATCTGTCTCATGAGAGGTCCTGTTCCTCCTCCCCTCCAGAGAGTTCTGGCTTTGCCAGCAGAGCTGAGATGGAGCCAGGGCTCCTGGAGAGGCAGAGGGCATAGCTGACCCACGGTCCCTGGGTATCATAGGGGCAGGCCAGTGTCACCACAGAGAAAGCTGGACATCAATGGAGAGGCCAGGTCAGGACACCAAGAGGCAGAGACGGTGCTGGAGGCTGGGCCTTGCCCAGGCCATCCTGCCAGCCTGCTGAGGCAACAACCCTAATGGAGAGGACACGCCCTCCTGCCAGCGCCACCCCAGGAGGACACGCTCCTCAGACCTCCTCTCCCAGACTCCTCTCCCCTGGGCTCCTGTCCACACACAGCACTCCTGACCACAGCCAAGCAACACCAGCTCAGCACCTGGCCCATGCTGTCCAGCACTTTGCGTCCCTCATCCCTGTTATTGCCCAGCCCTAAGGAGACCATCCCATCCCATCATTGCAAATGGGAGAAAGTGGAGCCCAGGGAGTGCTCCTGACTGGCACAGTGCGGGGCGCCACTACAGCCGATGCCTGTCGCTGATGCAGAGCTGCTCGCTGTCCCCGTGGCTGCCCCAAGTGAGGCACCTCACTGTGCACCCACAGCGCCACTCCTGTCTCCCCCTGGCTGCTGCTCTGTGACTCAGACTCTGCCTGAAGCCATCAATGGCAGTAGGGACAGGGGTGTGGTGGGGAGAGAAGGGTCCAGCTTGGGGGCTCCTGAGCTGAGGCCTGGGTGTCTGAGGGGGCGACTGGTTGCCTCTGGGAAATCAGAGAACTCGAGAAGCAGATGGTGCCATTTACAGGGCTTGGGGACCTGTCTGTCCCTAACCTGAAGTTGTCCTGCCAGGTGCCTGAGTCCCTGCTGGTCTTAAATGACTGAAGAAAGTCCTTCTGGGCACCCCTTTGGTACCAAGTCAGGAAAGTGCTCCCTGCAATCCTGGCTGCCTTGGGTGCCAGGCACGGGCAAGCTCACCAGCTCCGCCCTCACAAAACCCTACTCTAGATGCCTCCTGAGTCCCAGTTTGCAGGGGGACTGACCTGGTGCCTCTGGGTCAGAACAAAGTGCAAGGCTTCCAAGCCAGGACTTCAGCCACGTCCAAGGCCCTTACCACGTAACAAGGTCCCATGAAGAGCAGGCACCTGGCTCCGAGCCTGGGCCCGGGTGCTCTCTGCTCCTTGCAGTTGAAGATGTTGCTGTGGCCTCTCCTACAAATAAGCTACTCTCATCGGATCTTCTTGACATCAGCCTGACCTCCAGGCTGCCACGAGGAGGTGGAGCGCTAAGCGGCAGTGGGGAGAGCACACTAAACTCTTGGCCCAGCTCCAGGCACAGAGAAAACATGGGCCGTGTACAGTGGGCCTGGGACAGCGAAGGAAGCAGAAATATCTTTCACTCATTTTAGAAAATTTTTCAAAGATGTAAAAATCTCCGCACTCACAGAAATAAAGGAGCACAGCCAACCCACTCTGATTGACCTCTCTGTCCTCCTTCATATGCAAGCTGCCCAGAGACTGATTCTTCTGTTGGATTGCTTCCTTAGGATAAATTCCCTGTCCTAGGGTTCCTGGGCCAGGAGGTCAGAGCCCTTTTCTAGATCTTAAGAATCATTGCCATATTGCTTGCCAGGAAAAGACTGTTTCACTTTTCTTTTATTCAGTGCAGAGTTCATACTGTTTCATAGTCTGCTCCACCGTTTTCCTTCCTGATTCAGCATGCAGCATAATTAATTTGTTCCTCTGAATGCCAAGAAAGAACAGTTTTTGTAAACACTTCCTTTTTGTTTTTTTAAATTTGCTTAAGTTGGAGTTATTTGTTCCCAGCCTTTTCCCATTTACCTCTGGGTTATCACTTACTAAATATTAATCTCTTACATCATCAGAGTGCTGTGAAAACCTTCTTTCAAGGAACTCTTTAAATCCGTGGCAATGAACTCCGTTATTATTTCATTCAGATTTTTCCCCCAGTCTATTTAGTTAATATTTTAATTTTTACTGTTATATGCTGTTTTCAATTTCCCATGTTTTTTCTCTTAGAGGTTTCAAAACTTGGGGAATTATCATCCCACAACTTAATCAATATTTAATTGTATTTTTATGTACATTGTATTCTTATGGATATTATATGTATATTTTATGTGTATTTATGCATATATACATATTAGTACTAGGAAATTACATTTAATATTTAATCCTATTAATTTACTTTCAAAATGTTAAGTCTTCAATGCAGTGTTTCTGGGTTGAAGAATATTCTACCGAGCACTACTGATGTAGAATGCAATATCAAAACGA